GGATGAGCATCATGAGAAGTCCGAATAATTCAGGATTTATCAAAAGGGTCGATTGTGCGCGAAGCCGGAACTTTCAGCATGAGGGGTCTAAGCACACCCACACTCCAAGCCACCCTTACGCAGATGTGGCGTGCTGATTTGTTCTTGCGAAAAAGCAGTGTCGCCAAGGAGTTAGAGGCTTCCAATCCCAATTTTTTTTTTTAACGCTAATTTGTTGCATTAAATTTTTCCCAGGACTGCTCCGATCGCCACTGCGACGGTAGCAACCTATCAGCAACATACCCATTTCATTTTTCTGATGCAAGAAGCACTTTTCAAAATCAGTACCGAAATGGCCAATAAAGAACAAGCAACTCTTTTTCAAGAGCCGTGAGAACTTCGGTCAAGAAGTTGTTTCATTTTACAAGCTTTTTCTTTGTTTAACTCAAAAAAAAGCAGCTGCAAAGAAGTAGCCGCTAAATGAGATGTTTTTCCAATCAGAGAATTTACCAACGGCCTTGCGACTGGTAGTCGCGAGGCCGCTGGTAAATTCTCTCCTCGAGGACTGCACAAAAACCAATCTGTTGCTCGACAATTACCTGGCGACATGAAGCCAGAATGAATCAAATAATCAAAGAACACCTATCTGTGTTGAGATTCGAACCAGTGCAACTGCGCATCCATTTCTGTACGCAACAAGACAATAAACCAGGAACGTTTGCGTTATGCCAGAAATAAATTCGTGAAAATATAAACCTTAGGTGAATGCTGATCGTTTTGTGAATCTATCAAAGATGGTGATCCTGGCTGAAGTGGATCCGTAGCACTGAGCCGAGTATGCTGGCAGCTACTTTTGCGTGTTACCAGTGATACGGATTGAGGACGAGGCTGGTTCGCTGCAGCTGAGGATGGGCCAGGCTGCTGTTGACTGCTATTAAAGAAACGCCTGAAAAACGCTAGTGAAAAGACAGTCCAAAAATAACAAGAAAATCTGGCTGAAAAATCTACCAACAACTGCAAGTGACTGAGGAATGCCAAATGCCGAAAACAAAAAAAGGCAGACCCCGCATCATATACGAATCGCGACAAAATTTTTCTTGATGGTAGCGAGCAACGTTGCCCCACGATGAGTGGCGGACATTCGAGTGGCAAGTGAAGAGAAGCGGAGGCGATATGCTGCGGGTTTTGAAGCGGGGGAGGGGGTCGGGACTGGGATAAACGGGCTTAATGGCTAGTGGCGTAAATCATTTAACGGTTGGCCAGGTTACAAACATTTAGGGGAGGAGGGAGAAGGGCGAGTGAAGAGAGCGGGCGGGAGCGGGGAGGGGGAGGGCGTGGGGAGGGGAAAAGAAGAAAATGGTTGGCAACGAACAGAAAGTGTGCTGCTGATTTTTGCCACTGACACCCGAGGCAGGAAAGGAGCTGGACTGTTGCTTCCAGATTACACTTTTAGTGGAGATGAAGAGAAGTTCAGACATTGCTTTGCAAACAGGATTTGGGGACTGGGTAGCGAAGGGGAACGAGGATATAAACTAGGAACTCAAGGCAAAAATCAGAGAAAGCAGCAAAAAGAAACAGACAGCTTAGCACTACAAAGGAAAGAAAATTAAAGCGAACCTGAGCCTAAAAATACAAGCAAAAAAAAGGAAAAAAAATTAAAACAAATCTGAACATATGAATAAAAGTAAGAAAAAACAAAGGCGATAAAAAACTGAC